ATTTTTTTGATCCCTTAACTCTAAAAATTGCATTTTAAATATATTTATTTAAGTAACATATAAAGTTATATAAATAAATAATAAAAAAAATTATTCTTAAATAATTTTTTTAAAATAATTAGGTTAAATGCTAAATTTAGTCCCTCAACTTTATAAAATGAACATTTTTGGTCTCTTAATAATTTTTTGCATTTTTTTGATCCCTTAACTCTAAAAATTGCATTTTCCCAGCAAAGCTGGGTTCGGTTGAAACCCAGCAAGGCTGGGTTCGGTGGAAACCCAGCCTTGCTGGGTTCACGACCAGCCAAAGCTGGGTTTGTCGGAACCCAGCTTTGCTGGGTTTCAATAGAACCCAGCTTTGCTGGGAAAGCTTGGTTCTTGTTTTTGCGTTCTTCTTTCGATTTCCATTTGTAGTTGTTAATATATTTGGAGATTGATTTATAATTTGATTGCATTTTTGTTGAAATTTGATTAAAGTTTGATTGTATTTTTTGTTGAAATTCGATTTGAGTTTGATTGGTATTGTTTATTGAAGGGTTATTTTGATTTGGTAAGATCTGTCAGGTTTGAGGTTTCAATGAAACCCAGTAGCTCAAGTTTCTTCAAGAAAAGAGAAGAAGAAGAAATGGGTGGGTTAAGATCAATTCTGTAGATGGAGTGGAGATGAGAGAGCATTCACGGAGGAAGAAGAAATGGGTTAAGATCGATTTTGCAGAGGATGAAGATGAGAAATCAGTTTGCAGGTGACTGGAATCCATTGGAGGGGTTTAGCATGAAGAAGATGACATGTCATCAAAAAAGAAAGTCCAGATTAGCATCGTTGTGTTCGCCATGTCATCAAAAAAAAAAAATGCCATGTGGCCAAGTTAACGGCCCAAATTGACAGAAGGATTAACGGAGTGTATTTTGTATAGTTGAGGGATAAAAAAAGTGCAAAAAATTGTTGAGGGATCAAAAATGTGCAACTCACTAAAGTTGAGGGATCAAATTTAGCATTTAACCAAATAATTATTTTATCTTATTAGAAATAAAAAGTATTAAGGTGGTTAAATGTTAAATTTGGTCCCTCAACTTTAAGAAATGCACATTTTTAATCCCTCAACAATTTTTTACACTTTTTTGATTCCTCAATTATAAGAAATGCACATCGTTAGTCTTTCTGTTAATTTGGGTTGTTAACTCTGCCAATGTGACATTTTTTTATATTTTTTTTAATGATATGGAGAGCAAAATTTAAAAAAGTGATGGTATGGACAAAACTTTTGCCATGTCATGTTACCGTGACCAAAACGCGCCAAATCCGCCTAAATGGGTCTCACATCACTACTAAGAATTGCTTCTTTGCCCATCGGTTATTGCTTTTGTTCTTTCTATCGACGATGTTCTTTCCATTTTCAAGATTGAAATTATTTAGACAATACTTAAAAAATATGAAGAAAAGAATCCCAAAAATCACTCACAACAACTTGCAATTTTGATAATCTCTTGGCAAATAAACATATAACAAAAAAAAAAACAAGTGGAGCTGGGTTCGGTGGAACCCAGGTAGGGTTCTGTCGAACCCAGCAGATATGGGTTCAGTGGAACCCAGGTGGGGTTCCGTCGAACCCAACAAACTAGGTTCAATGACTTGAGCTGGGTTCCCTTGAACCTAGCAACACAGAGGAAGAAGAGGAAGAAAGAAAAAGAAAAAAAAGAAAGGAAGAAGATGGATCGAATTTTTTTATTTTATTTTTTTAAAAAATAAATACTAATCATATGCGTTGGCATGAGTTGTTATGAAAAAAAATTTTACATCAACACTTTTTTAATTTGTTTTCACCATGTTATAAAAAAAACTATATAAAATGTCACATGAGCGAGTTAACGATCTAAATTAATAGAAGGATTAATGGAGTGCATTTCTTAAAGTTGATGGATCAAAAAAATGTAAAAAATTATTAAGGGACCAAAAATGTGTAACTCACTAAAGTTGAGGGACCAAATTTAGCATTTAACCTATTAAGGTGAAGTTCACATAATATGCTATTGTAGTGGATTAAAAGATAGAGAAAAGACAGCACGAGTGCCACGGGTCATCAGACGCCATAGACCAAGTAGTCATCATCTTCCTATATCTAAGTCGGGCTGCGAAGAAGGGGAGCATCGTCAACTTCCCTTCCTGATTTGAAAATTTTCTTGCTCTCACGGGCGTTCAAGTGACTGCAGAACTTTCTTGATGGAAGGCCTTGAAGATGGTAAATCGCTTGCACATGCAAGCCCCAGCTCGCATACTCTGGTCATCTATCGTAAATCGCCGGATCAAATAATTCAACCAAAGGTCTTTCCTCTGCCCAATGCTGCTATGCCCATGCTGCGAGGCCTGTGTTCTCATTTCCTCTGTCAGCTTCTCTTCCCGTCACCAACTCCAGAAGTACCACGCCAAAGCTATAGACATCAATCTTTTCATTCACCTTTGTTGTATACGCATATTCTGCAAACAAGATAACTTATTACATCAGAACAATGCCTAAATGGATTCGATCCAAGATCGCAAGATAAGTTTATTGTGTGGTCTTACCTGGGGCGAGATAACCACAAGATCCTGCAACTGCAGACACGGTGTGATGCGTCCCTTGCCTAGTTAGCATTTTCGCAAGTCCAAAAACCGCAACCCTTGCCTTGAATTCTGAATCCAAGAGAATATTGCTGGACTTGATATCACGATGAATGATGCGTGGAGAGCAGTCATGGTGAATGTAGCGAAGTCCCAGAGCAGCTCCAATTGCAATTTGCAACCTTCTCGGCCAGTCCAGGACAGAACTCATCCCAGTCCCAGAATGTGTTATTCTATTCTTCCCATGAAGCTACCTATACAAGCTCTCATTCTCCATGTACTCATACACCAGAAGATTCGAATTCTCACTCGAAATGCAGCACAGCGGCTTCACTATGCTGGCATGACGAATGCTGCCCAGAATTTCAACCTCTGCTTTGAACGCTTTCTCCAGCTTATGATCCAGTTTCTGCTCATTCCAAATCCTCTTTACCGCTACAAATCCACCTAACCCATTAATGCCAATCTTGTACACTTTTCCAGACCCACCACTTCCAATCAAATTATTATCAGTCAAACTGGACAAGATATTCACTTCCGTGAAATCCAATCTCTGGAACGTAGTTAGCTTCAATGTCGCAAGATATTTTTCCGGCCGGTAGTCTCTGAACTTGAACAAGGTCAATATAACAGTAACAATGGTGACCACGACAGCAAGAGCCAGAATCAGGGGAAGATATTTAGAGGACAGTTTTTGGGGTTGGTGAAGTGTGGAGCTGCAGTCTGGAAGATTTAGGATTCGGTTGTCTGCACAGAGGTGGGAATTGTTCAAGAAACTGTTTTCGTAAGCAAGGTTGTCAAACTCGTCAGGGATTTGCCCGGAAAGTTTGTTGGACGATAAATTTAGGGAAGTAAGTCGCAGGTTGCCAATTTTAGCAAGTATTTTCCCATAAAATTGGTTGTCCGATTAATCAAGATTGAGCAGGTCAGGTAAAGACCCAATTGATGCCGGAATTTGACCGGTAAGTTGGTGCCGGACAGATCCAAGGTGGTCAACGATATCCAGGAGACTATATTCGATGGTAATTCACCGGAAAGTTGATTACCATCGAGGAGGAGGGTAATAAGGTTAGAAAGATATGTTATTTCCTTTGGAATTTCACCGGATAAGAGATTGTTGCTCGCCTGGAAGACTGTCAAATTTGACCAAGAACCAATCCCGGTGGGGATTTGGCCGGAAAATTTGTTGTTGTTCATTTCCATCCTGGTCAGATTCCATGCTAGTTTGCTCGGCAATTCCCCCGAAAATAAATTGTTACTCAACATCAAGCTTTCTAAATTGAAAGTCGTCCAGAGAGCCAGAGGAATCTAACCTGAAAAGTGGTTGTCCTCAAGCCGAACGATTTGGAGGGTGCTGCAATTTCCAAGCGATGCCGGTATTTGTCCACTGAGGTTGTTTGAAAATGCAACCACTCCCTGTAGAACACGACCTGCGCATAAAAATTCCGGTAGTTGGCCAGTGAATTGATTGATGCACACCTCAAAACCTTCGAGCTTTGAGTGGAGGCCAAAATCTGGCGGCAATATTCCACTCAAACTATTGTTAAAAACCCGGAAAATCTTCAAGGCCGGAAGTCGACTCAAACCGACCGGCACCTCCCCTGTTAACTGATTCGAAGACAGAACAAAGAACACCAGATTCTGCATCTTCCCGAATTCCTCCGGTATGGTGCCCGACAAATTATTCACGCTAAGATCAATTTCTACCAAATTTAAAGCTTCTACCGCTCTGGGTATCTCGCCGGATAGTGTGTTGCTGAAGAGATACAAAATGGTCAGATTCTTCAGCATGAGAAGCCTGCTAGGAATCGAGCCTTCCAACTTGTTCTCAGCCAAATCCAACCACTCCAGACTGGACAGGTCGGCGATGCCTTCCGGAATTTGGCCGATTAAATTTGTTTCCGTCATCCATAAGTACTTCAGTTTCTTCAATTGACTGAACCTATCAGGTATCTTCATGGGCGCAAACCCATTATAGGCCATAGCCAGATGCTCAAGATTGGATAGGTTTCCGATTTCCTCCGGAAAAGTGACATTGTGGAACTCATTCCCGTCAAGATGGAGTTCTCGCAACTCCGGTAATCGGCCAATACTCGGCGGAATGTCACCGGAAAAATTGTTGGAACTGGCGTCTAAGTAAAGCAGAGTCGATAACCGTTCAATATCGTCGGGAATGGGGCCGATAAAGTAGTTCATGGAGAGGTCTAAGTACTGGAGCTTGGAGCAATTGTACAGCAGTTTTGGGAACTCACCAGGGATATAATTGTAGGCCAGATCAAGGACATTGAGGTTCTTAAGGTCACAGATTGTTGGTGGGATTTTAACCGTAATGTTCATATTGCGGAGCGAAACGACGGTGACTGAACCCCGAGTGCAGTTGATTCCCGGCCAAGAACACGGCAAGGATGAGGCATTCCATGATTGAATGGCCGGCAGATTACCCAGTTGTTGCTTTAGTTTGAGAAGAATTGTACGTTCTGTTTCAATGCTTTGTGAAATTACATTGAAGGATATGAAGATGAGGAAGAAAAGGGAAAGAAGGGGTTGTAATTTGGGAAAACATATGGATAGTTTGGCCATTTGAGTGCTTGGGTAGTTATTCCGCTTGGGGAACTTACCGGGAAATTAATATGATCCGCACCTTGCAGACGGAGCTCCTCATCGTGTTATATTATATAAGCACTAAGTCAGGTTTCCTTCTTTAAAATGTCACTGGTATTCCATTTAATTACGAACGTGCCACTGAGTCAGTGAGTCAGATCTGGAATCCTTAGTTTGGACTTTGGACGGATTTATTTTAATTCGCACTTTTGATTATTATCAAATGGGTCCTACTTAGTTTGTTCAGCTTCACAATTAGTAATAATTCCACTAAAGATTGGTGGAATTGTTTAAAAAGTAAAAAGACTTTTTTGGATAAAAGAATAAAGTCTCGTAACCTAATCTAGGTTAGGATTAGGAAAATTAACAAATAAGAAATTATACTATAATTTGAATTATAAAATAAAAAATTAATTAAAAATGATATTGGAAAACAAAATCTTGTTGTAATTACTGTGAAATTTTCGTTAGAACTTGCTATTAATATCACCTCAATTTCTGCACGTATTTTTATTGTTCCCAATTTATAGTTCACATGATGAAACAAAGTTGAACTAACTACAGCTAATTGAGTTTTTCTATGCTAATTGAAAAGCTTAATTTTAGTGTTAATATTAGGAGTTCAAATATTTATTGTATAAAAATGTTTTTATTTTTATTTTAGAATAAGAAAAAGAAGAAATTACGACATCTTGATATTAAAAATGTCATGACATCTAATAACGCTCATATGATGAATTTGATAAAATATAACTCACACATTTAAAATTGTGATTAAATATCCCGATATTTTTAATATCAAAACATTCTAATTTTTCTTTTTCTCTTAAGAATAATAGTCAACTTTTTATTAAAAATTTGTTACAAATTATTATTTTTTTCATATTATAAGTTAACAAATATATACTTTTCAAAAATTTTAACTATATTATGATCCTTTAACTTTAATTATTTATTATCACACAAAAAAAATCTATTTTTATCTTATCCTCTTAATATAAGAAAAAAAGTTAAAAAAGAATAATTATCTTGAAATAAAAGAGCTAATATAAATACCAAACCTTTATGCCATTTACAAAGTTTTTTAATTTTATTTCGATAAAATTATTTACAAAGTAATAAGAGGTGAACAAGTTTAATTTAACTATTTTCTATCAATAACAAGTTCATTTCAAATTTTTTGAGCATGTAGAGAGAAAGATTCCTTTCCCTTTAGAATTTACTAAACTTCCCTCTGGATGGCACAAGATAGATCTTTCTTCGTGATGGTAATCTCAAGATAGCAAAGCATCCAAATGCTCCTTTTTTTCTTTTTTCTTTTTTCATTTTTGGCTGTCTTCGAAATGCTCCTTCCTTTCTCTAGTTTGCATGAAAACGAGGGGCTTTCTTATTCCTTGATGTTGAAAACCAAGGTTGTTGATTCTGTTTTATATTGATCGGTACGACAAGTATGTACTTATTTTGGGCTTAGTCTGAACCCTGAAATGATATGAGATATGCTTTTGTTTTGGTTAAATTTTAGGTAATTTGGTTAAATTCTGACATATCAAGCAAAATTTTGTATACCGATAAATACGGCTAATATCTATTGATTTTATATTAGAATTTAAAATAGCATGAGATTTTATTTTGATTTGATCAAATTTTGAGTTTTTTAATCAAATTTCAATATATCGATCAAAACTTTGTATATAAACTAAAATCATACTGGTTGAAATTTTACATACTGACCGGTAAGTGGAAATATTAACCATACAACGTAACATTTATAACTAAATCATCTTGCCCAGCCCCTACCCATTTGGAAAAGACCACCAATTTCACCTTTATCCTCTCTCATCCGAGCCCCAGCCTTTTCTCCACCTTTGCTAAGAAATAACCACAAATATGGAATTTTTGAGTAAAAGAAATTAAGAAAAAGATAGAAAATGGTAGCGGGCATGACAAATGACCGGTGTCTTTCTAGAAGAGATGAGAGTGAGAAATGGTTGGTTGAAACGGTGATGATGGAAGTGGGGATTTAATTGGATGGAAAATGGATGGAGAAGGGAAAAGAATGAGAAATCAGAAACGATGGTCGCAACCAATCATTTTCGAATCTTCTCTTTGTCTATACAGCATTGACCGGCATTTTTGCAATTAACGCAATCTCATGGGTCTTTTTAGGAGCAAATGGAAGCAAAAACCATTGGTTG